CCTTACGAAAATTTCCTATAGGAATTCCTATAGGAAATCAAAATTCCTATAGGAATTCCTATAGGAATTGAAAATTCCTATAGGAATTCCTATATGAATTGAAAATCCTATAGGAATTCCTATAGGAATTGAAAATGGTAAAAAAAATTCCTATAGGAATTCCTATAAGAATTGAAATTTCCTATAGGAATTGAAATTTCCTATAGGAATTCCTATAGGCATTGAAAATTCCTATAGGAATTCCTATAGGAATTAAAATTTCCTATAGGAATTCCTATAGGCATTGAAAATTCCTATAGGAATTCCTATAGGAATTGAAATTTCCTATAGGAATTCCTATTGGCATTGAAAATTCGTATAGGAATTCCTATAGGAATTGAAAATGGTGAAAAAATTCCTATAGGAAAAAATATTCCTGTAGGAATTCCGAGAACGATTATAGAATACCCGGCCACTTTTGAATTTTGATAGTGTTTGCTTTTGGGGATACGGGGATACGCAGTCATTAAAATGACGTAATTATTCGAGTAGTTTAAGAGGAGAATGGGTAACTATTATTTTTCAATGATACGAGGATACGCAGTCATTAAAATGACGTAATTATTCGAGTAGTTTAAGAGGAGATTGGGTAACTAATATTTTTCAATGATACGGGGATACTCAGGCATTAAAATGACGTAATTATTCGAGTAGTTTAAGAGGAGAATGGGTAACTATTATTTTTCAATGATACGGGGATACGCAGTCATTAAAATGACGTAATTATTCGAGTAGTTTAAGAGGAGAATGGGTAACTATTATTTTTCAATGATACAGGGATACGGGGATACGCAGTCATTAAAATGACGTAATTATTCGAGTAGTTTAAGAGGAGAATGGGTAACTATTATTTTTCAATGATACGGGGATACGGGGATACGCAGTCATTAAAATGACGTAATTATTCGAGGAGTTTAAGAGGAGAATGGGTAACTATTATTTTTCAATGATACGGGGATACGGGGATACGCAGTCATTAAAATGACGTAATTATTCGAGTAGTTTAAGAGGAGAATGGGTAACTATCATTTTTCAATGATACGGGGATACGGGGATACGCAGTCATTAAAATGACGTAATTATTCGAGTAGTTTAAGAGGAGAATGGGTAACTATTATTTTTCAATGATACGGGGATATAGGGATACGCAGTCATTAAAATGACGTAATTATTCGAGTAGTTTAAAAGGAGAATGGGTAACTATTATTTTTCAATGATACGGGGATACGGGGATACGCAGTCATTAAAATGACGTAATTATTCGAGTAGTTTAAGAGGAGAATGGGTAACTATTATTTTTCAATGATACGGGGATACGGGGATACGCAGTCATTAAAATGACGTAATTATTCGAGTAGTTTAAAAGGAGATTTATACTAATGAGTAATATTTTGTGCAGGGTTTAGTTGAGAACGTGAGAAATACAATATATGAGTAATATTTCGTGCGGGGTTTATTGAGAACGAGAACTACGATATATGAGTAATATTTTGTGCGGGGTTTATTGAGAACGAGAATTACAATATATGAGTAATATTTTGTGCGCGGTTTAGTTGAGAACGTGAGGAATACAATATATGAGTAATATTTTGTGCGGGGTTTATTGAGAACGAGAAATACAATATATGAGTAATATTTTGTGCGGGGTTTATTGAGAACGAGAAATACAATATATGAGTAACATTTTGTGCGGGGTTTATTGAGAACGAGAAATACAATATATGAGTAATATTTTGTGCGCGGTTTAGTTGAGAACGTGAGGAATATAATATATGAGTAATGTTTTGTGCGGGGTATATTGAGAACGAGAAATACAATATATGAGTAATATTTTGTGCGGGGTTTATTGAGAACGAGAACTACAATATACGAGTAATATTTTGTGCGGGGTTTATTGAGAACGAGAAATACAATATATGAGTAATATTTTGTGCGGGGTTTATTGAGAACGAGAAATACAATATATGAGTAACATTTTGTGCGGGGTTTATTGAGAACGAGAAATACAATATATGAGTAATATTTTGTGCGCGGTTTAGTTGAGAACGTGAGGAATACAATATATGAGTAATATTTTGTGCGGTGTTTATTGAGAACGAGAAATACAATATATGAATAATATTTTGTGCGGGGTTTATAGAGAAAGAGAAATACAATATATGAGTAATATTTTGTGCGGGGTTTATTGAGAACGAGAAATACAATATATGAGTAATATTTTGTGCGGGGTTTATTGAGAATGAGAAATACAATATACGAGTAATAGTTTGTGCGTGGTTTATTGAGAACGAGAAATACAATATATGAGTAATATTTTGTGCGGGGTTTATTGAGAACGAGAAATAAAATATATGAGTAATATTTTGTGCGGGGTTTATTAAGAACGAGAAATACAATATATTTATAACCCTTTATTATTGATAATACAGATTAATTATTTGATTAACGATTCCCCGTTTATTTTGATACCGAAACATTAGAATAATTACGTAATTTCCTTCACTGCGTATCACCGTATCATTGAAACTTAATATTTACCCAAACACTCGAATAATTACGTCATTTCATTCACTGCGTATCACCACCGTATCCCCCCAAAATAAACAGTATCAGAAATGGACGGGTATTCTATAATCTAGCCCCGAGGTAAACATGGTTTGAGAGAATTTATCGATTTGTTTCCAATAGACACTTCCCAAATTTGCTTGAGTGCACACGAAACAATAGCTTGGAATCGAGGCGGACAATGTAATCATTGTAAATAAGTAGTTATTTACAATGATTACATTGTCCGCCTCGATTCCAAGCTATTGTTTTGTGTGCACTCAAGCAAATTCGGGAAGTGTCTATTAACTGGTACTTTCATAAGTTTCTAATTTAATATTTATATATAGGTGGGTCAGTTTAGATAAAAGTTGTCAATTTGATGTGTTGTGTGGCAACTTTCAAACTTTATATGAATTCATTTAATTTTATATGCTTGTGTGATGTTATGGTGTTACTCCGAGTGTATATCCACACTGGGCAGGCATATTTTCCACCGTGGCCAGGTGGTGTATATATATATACACCCAGAGTAACATCACACTTGTAAGCATCTTATTCACCTGAGTGCATTACACCAACACAGCAAATATCATGATTATTAGATTACACTGATATCGAAGGAACTAGACTCAGTTCCGAAATATAGCATACTCGAACCGACCTGACCGCATAGCTCAATTGGCAGAGCATTGGGCTAGTACTCCAAAGGTCGTAGGTTCGAATCCCACCGTGGCCAGGTATATTTTTCAAGCCTGCCTGGTGAGGATATACAATCAGAGTAAGATCACACAAGCATCTTATTCACCTGAGTACATTACACCAACACAGCAAATAACATTTATTTATGCCACCTGCATGATCAGATGATCTGTTTAATTTAATAATATATGTAACAACCTTAGGGCTACATTTTATATATTTGAGATATACACCCCGGCAAGGATTTGTTGGTTTTTGGAATTATTACCCATTTCACTGATTCACTCCAATGAGCCCAATTTTCAGCACTTTGTTAAATGTTATCTTGCCTAAGGGAAGTGTCTAGCTAGACTCTGCCCATGTTTCATGTTGATATATTTAAATACAATTTTCCCTAACACTACCTACTTTAAGTACTTTGATATTCAACTCTGACATGTCGTGCTAGACAATTTTGATTATCGACTGTGGACTACTTACCCATATTTCACCTATTAACACCTAAGGAGCAATTTCTTCTTATGTTACATACTTTGTAGGGGTGTGCAGGGTAGAGTCTTTTTGCTCTCCAGCCAGATATGTTGGATAGTTGAGGATCTGTTGGATAGTTGAAAAATATCCCTGGAGCCAGATTCACATTATTTTTCAAATATATAAGGTTCAGGCCTCATTTAAGGTTAATTTTAAAAGTAATCATTTTAATTGGTTAAAAAGTGATGGTGTTTATAAAATTTTGATTTGAAATAATAGGAAAGAACTTCACAGTCTAACACTAGTAAACATGCATCATTCGTAGCAAAAACCTCACTTGTATTAGTTCAATGAAAGGTCAAATCTGCATTTACAAACAAGCATATAAAATCTTGAAAATAGTGTTTACAAGCATTCCTGTTATCAATCATGGAATAAAAATATGATAACCACCCCTGCTTTTTTAACCTAATCAAATCATCTAACCTGCAGTAACTGTAAATCTTGAAGGCCTGAACCTTATGTAAATAATACCCAGTATTGGGTGGCCATGTAACAGAAAATGAAGTAAAATCTCAATATCTGGCCAGATATGATATCCATTGCATCCCTAGTTATTTGTTATGTTTCTTTGTCTTGAAATGCCGAACAACTTTACTTGTTAAGGGGAGAGTGTTGGTATGACTGTACAGTATATTCGTATTCAACATACTTATTTAATATATGCGCCATTGGTACCCTTTTATAGTTAACCCTCAGATGTATAATGGCTTCCCTTCCACATGCACTGGGAGACCGACAGACCTACCAATACAAGACAGGCAAGCAAGGAGACCGGCAGACCCACCAAAACAAGACAGGCAAGCATGTAAGTTTACTGATATTTTTCTTTGTGATATAAGTTAACACATTGCGCCCTGCTTTATTATTTTACTCTGTCTAACGCCAGATGATTTACTCATCAAGGGGAGAGCTCTGGTGCTTAATGTGTTAACTAGCCTATCTGCCCATGTGTCTAGTTAATCCATTGAGTTGCATTGCACTGATGCGCCCTGCTTTATTATTTTACTCTGTCTACTGCCAGACAATTTACTCGTCAAGGGGAGAGCTCTGGCATTTAATAGGTACAGTAACTTAACTGGCCTTTCAGCCCATATGTCTAATAATCTAGTTAATCCATTCAGTTGCATTGTGCCAATGTGCCCTGCTTTATGTATTATTTTACTCTGTCTAACGATTTAGTTGTATAACATGTGGGCAGTGACTGAGTGAAACAGTACAGGCTTGACTGCAGTCACTGACAAGAAGAAAATTCAGATCTTACAATGTACTGTATATTAATTTTACTGTATTATAAACCATATAATTTCTTTTATTAGTCCATTCTGACAGCAAATGCCTTAACTGAGGTGGATAGGCCCAAGAATTTTTCGAAATTAACTAAGAATGCAAGAAAAAGATTCAATGTGAACTGGAGAAGCAGGAGAACTGTTAAGAGAACACAAACATACAGTCTGTATTTGTTTTTAATATTTTAGTAACGATATTATATGCATTTCTTAATTTTAATCTTTGGTCTTGTCCCTGCATGGTGTTACTGGTAACCCACCCCTGATTTTTTATTTCTGCATGCTTTTAGTTGAGTAATGCATATACAGGATGTATCAAAAAATGTCCCAAATGGATAATTTCCTCGAAATCACACAAAATTTGGGATATTTTTTGTAACCGAGAGTAAATATATGTAAATTGTAATTAAGTTTTTATTATTTTGTAATTTGTATATTTCGAATAAACTTGTGTCTGATGTGGTACATCAAACCTGCATAGCACGTAACTTTCTTATTTAGGTAGATTTTTCTGAGGGGCAGTTCATATGATCCCGCTTACACAAGATTAAACGAAGCGTGCAAAGATTTTGAGATATTGAAATAAGTGATTTGTTAATGATAAGGAAAAATAACATGATCCAGGTGGCTTTGGATTTTGTTCTGTAGAAAAATCAAATGGGCAAAATGTAATTGTTGAGCACTAATTCTTGCGAATATATATTTTTTGCATTGATCTATATTTAGTCTGTTGTTAGCATGTGCTTATTTCAATACCTCAAAGCCATTGCTCGCTTTGTTTAATCTCGGGTGGGATCACATAAACTTCCCCTGACTCGCTTAATTTCAATGCATAATTAACAATTATTCGCCGAAGGCGAGGTGATTATCGATGAATAAAAACCGAGACGAAGTCGAGGTTTTTATTCACGATAATCACCGAGCCTGAGGTGAATAATTGTTTTAGTATAATTTCATAGGTGATTATTTGGAAAAAAATAAGAAAATACACATTTCTTCGTCATTTAATTGACAAAAAGGCTTCGGCGGCATGTTGTAAAACCTGGACTGGACTGGACTTGTAAAACCTGGACTGGACTCATTTGTAAAACATGGACTGGACTCAGAACAATAGAATTTGTAAAACATGGACTGGACTTATTTGTAAAACCTGGACTGGACTCATTTGTAAAACCTGGACTGGACTCATTTGTAAAACATGGACTGGACTCATTTGTAAAACCTGGACTGGACTCATTTGTAAAACATGGACTGGACTCATTTGTAAAACATGGACTGGACTCATTTGTAAAACATGGACTGGACTCATTTGTAAAACATGGACTGGACTCATTTGTAAAACATGGACTGGACTCATTTGTAAAACATGGACTGGACTCATTTGTAAAACATGGACTGGACTCATTTGTAAAACATGGACTTGCACAAAACTATACTGTCAAAAATAGAAACCTATTGACTATGATCACTATGACAAAGGGTGGCCACAGGAAGTTAAATTTTTAAAATATGGCAGCCAAATATATTTTTCTTTTCACAGTATTCAATTTTAGGTTTTTCAAATGGAAGAATAATGGAAGAACAGAGTTTTTTTATTGCCTAAATGAAATGTAATTATTTTATTAAACCGGTAAGTATATATTACTTATATTATTTATTTGTAGAGTCTGTAAGACACACCATTCAGCACAGCAGTCAACACAGCAGGGGTCATCCTAAGGTCTACCATTTTTCAAAATGGGCAGTTCTATTTGGAAAATGGGTAGTTCACAGTTCTAAAATTGAGTTTTGGAGAGAAATGCTGAACTTCCAAACGTGAAAGTGTCTAAACATTCAATAATCTATATTTAAAAGATTATCTGCAAAAAAAGGGAAATATTCAAAGTGAGCGACTTATAGTTACTATACCCAGATTTCTGATTTCAAAAAATGCACCGTTATAATCTTTCGTAAACCTAAAATTTTTCCCAAATTTTGTTCTCAGAATACTGGAAATGCCATTTGAGAGACCTCAATTTCAAAATTTTTCAGGGGGGAGAGCTATCCCCGACACCCCTAGAAGGCTTATGCCCACAACACACACTGCATCTGGAAGCAGCTATGAAATGGGCAGTTCTAAATTTTTCTTAGGATGAAAACAACTGCAATTACTGTACAGTTTATCTAGAATGATATATTCTGTAGCTATAGTATCTAAGGAATAAGTACATTTTATAATATTTCTGCTAGTCAATGTGGTTCACCGGGCCGGCACCATTGTCTTCAATTTTACCATTATAAAACTAAAAGTCAAAGTCAACTAGTATTGGCTCCTTAAAACTTTTTTAATAGGCTACTTTTTATTAATCTTTTCTTAATTATACTTGTGAGGATTGAGAATTGTTACAGTGATACTAACTAGTGACTAGTGCAAACTTGAGTGTGAATAAGGTAAAGAATTTTTAGTTTTTGTGATATGGTATCCCTCTATTATTCTTTTCTGGCTCTTTGAGGGGAGAGGGCTTATTTGAGAGAGGGGTTTATTTAAGAGAGGGGCGTATGCATAGTTTCTTGGTAAAATTATATGATAATTTCCCTCCAGCACAAAAAATTGTGTGTAAAACGACTATGTATTCTAACAATTTTAACACAAGGGTTTTAATTAATGAGATGTTGAACTATATATTTTTCAACTATTTGGCTATATATATGTTTTAAGATGTTCGTGACATATGTCTGACATGTATGATGTGTTAACACATATTTTATATTAACCTGGGGCAGGGCTTAATAAAGAGAGGGGGAAGCTTAATAAAAATCTTCACCTAAAAGGGGGATTATTAGAAAGGGTGCTTATTGGGGGGGGGGGGCTAAATAAAGAGAATATCACTCAAACAAACAAAACTGGTACTGTCAATTTTTATATATAATGTGACAGAACATAATATATCACATATGTGTTGCAGGGGTCATCCTAAGAAAAATTTAGAACTGCCCATTTCATAGCTGCTTCCAGATGCAGTGTGTGTTGGGGATATAGCTCTCCCCCTGAAAAATTTTGAAATTGAGGTCTCTCAAATGGCATTTCCAGCATTCTGAGAACAAATTTTGGGAAAAATTTTCAATTTACAAAAGATTATAATGGTGCATTTTCTGAAATCAGAAATCTGTGTAATAGTAACTATAATTAAATCGCTCACTTCATCGATATTTCTTTTTTCTTTGTAGATAATCTTTTAAATATTGATTATTGAATGTTTAGAAGTTCAGCAGAGCATTTCTCTCCAAAACTCAATTTTAGAACGGCCCATTTTAGGATTTAGAGCTACTTGTTTTCCAATTAGAACTGCACATTTTGAAAAATGGGAGGCCTTAGGAAGACCCCTGCTGTGTTGACTGCAGTGTTGAAGTCTCCGCTACAGTAGTGGTGTGTCTTACAGACTCTACACATAAATAATATAAGTAATATATTCTTACCGGTTTAATAAAATAATTACATTTCATTTAGGCACTAAACTGACCCATATTTAGTTAAAAAATCACTGTTCTTCCATTTCAAAAACCTAAAATTGAATACTGTGAAAAGAAAAATATATATGGCTGCCATATTTTAAAAATTTGACCTCCTGTGGCCACCCTTTGTCACAGTCTATTTTTGACTAGTATAGTTTTGTGCAAGTCCATGTTTTACAAATGAGTCCAGTCCATGTTTTACAAATGAGTCCAGTCCATGTTTTACAAATGAGTCCAGTCCATGTTTTACAAATGAGTCCAGTCCATGTTTTACAAATGAGTCGAGTCCATGTTTTACAAATGAGTCCAGTCCATGTTTTACAAATGAGTCCAGTCCAGGTTTTACAAGTCCAGTCCAGTCCAGGTTTTACAACATGCCAGCAAGCAATGCATAAAACCTAAACTTTAGCGGCAATTTATCAGCCTAATGAGCTCCGTTTTCTGTGCGAAGGACTGCATGCAAAAAATCAATGACAGTACACCGTTCTGGATAAAATAATGGCAATGTGCAGGAGCACAATGCCGATTTAATGATTAACACAAAAATAACAAATTACAGATAAATGTTACAAATTTAGTATTCATGCATAGCACAGAAAAGGTGGGGTGTTAAAAAACGCCCCATATACAAAAACCGCCGGTAACATGTATCGTAGGACGCAAAATGAGGCAAGGGAGGGCGGGAGGGAAAGGAAGACTTGTGAGGACTTGAAAACTTGCCTTGCGAAGCCAAATGTGAATGATCTTGAGCTGTTAACGCTCAACGTTTTTATATAATAGGCCCAAGATGCACGTGAAGCGTGACACTGAAATTCACTGATGTGTTGCAAAATTCCACGGGAAATAAAACTGGTTGAACGAGTTTCCCTGCGACGTTCCCTCCATAACCCCCATTTTGCGTGCTACCCCGAATCCCTAAATATCCCTAGAAAATTCCCACGGAAGCAATAAATTGATTATTCGCTGAAGCAAATAACTCCTTTATCGCTTCCGCGGTAGCAAGCAATGCATAAAACCTAAACTTTAGCGGCAATTTATCAGCCTGATGAGCTCCGTTTTCTGTGCGAAGGACTGCATGCAAAAAATCAATGACAGTACACCGTTCTGGATAAAATAATGGCAATGTGCAGGAGCACAATGCCGATTTAATGATTAACACAAAAATAACAAATTACAGATAAATGTTACAAATTTAGTATTCATGCATAGCACAGAAAAGGTGGGGTGTTAAAAAACGCCACAAGCCGACTAGAAGGAGGCACCCCACCCCATCAGGCAGAGAAATCGCCGCCAGAGCCGATAGACTAGAAAGCAAGACAAACGGCCACTCATGACATCCAAAATAATCAGCGAAGTCGCATAAGAATGTAACCTAAAATACCACTACTGGACGTATAAATTTAATAATAGACGTATGGCACTGACAGTAAATTAGAACTCTGAAGCCGACCATGAACCTAGCCCCTGCATCAGCGCACGGATGGGCAACAAAGTACATTATAAAAATTACACAAGCTGAAACCATGAAACCTTAACAAAGTCTCGCCAGCCTAGCCCCTGCATCAGCTAGACGAGTGTTACCACGCGTTAAATGTGCTGTTCATTAACGAGACATATATTTGTGGCCTACTATTAACCGTTTGCCTCACCAATACAAGAATGCAGCCACCGTCAGTCGCAGTTAAGACGAAGCCGAACTTAAGCTTGGTATGCGAATATACTTGAGGAATGCATCGGATCGCCAGCGCCCCATAGCACGAATTTGGGCATCAGAGAAACCGCACTCTGCCGCAAAAGTGGCTGCGCCAATACGGAAACTGTGGCCTTTATACTTCATGGTATCAAGACCACAGCCGCGAAAAAGCATTGATAAAAACTTAGTAAATAACGTGCGAGGCACGGCGGAACCCAAAGGCATCCTGAACAGCGGACCATCAGTTAAGCCTCGAACTGACAAATACTCTTGTAAGTTCTGAACAGGGCATATGTCAGAACGCCGAGACAATGTCAGTACAACAGGGCGCTGGTTATAAGAATGTTTGAAATCGTGAAAAGTAATCTTAAGGCCCGCGATGAAACCCGAGGGTTCTACCATCTTAACAACCTGGTCTATATGGAGAACTGATGGAGAACGAGAGCAAACGGTAATTTCGCCAATGCGCAGAAACGCAAAAAATGCAGTAGAGCACATAGCCGTAAAGAGATGCGTCTCGTAAGCACTAGAACACAGCGCGGGAACCTGCCTCAGAATATTCCGAAGAATAGACAAAGTAATAGGCAATCGAGTATCAATTTGCGCTCCTAACTTTTTATAGCCTTTCAGCATTTCTAACACCCAAAAAACCTTCGTGGGGTCTGGGTACCCGGCCAGGCGATGGCTATAGCCAAGAGCAGATACGTATGTGAGGGCTGTAGATGATGCATACTGATTTTGAAACATGTAGGCGATAAATAAACTTAAATCCGTAGGTGTAAGCGGAAGTGAAACCACTGCTGAATGCATCATCTGGTGGGAAAACCGTTCGTATAATTGCCAAGCTCGACGGTACGTTGGGACTGACGATGGCTGCAAACTCGCTCGTAGCAGAGTAGAACTTATATCTGCCAACTGTGTGGAAGAAGCTGGGCGGGAATCACCGAGGGATAAATCTGCACGCCCGCCGGCGCCAGCTCGCGGAATTTCGAAACCTGTAAACGTGACAAAGCATCAGCCAAAGTATTTTTGGCACCTGGAACATGCTTAGCACGAAATAAAATGTTAAATTTCAAGCAAGCTAGAACCAGCCGACGGACAAATATCATGACAGTGGGATCCCGTGAAGTAGTCTTATTTATGATCTCGACCAATGCTGCATTGTCCGTGTAAAATAGTATGCGGTGGTTTCGCATGAGATGACCCCATAAGTGGACACTGAGGACAATTGGAAAAAACTCTAAAACAACAATGTTGAGCTTTTTCCATTCCTCAGGCCAAGGCCCATAAAACCAAAGGTTGCCAAATATAGCCCCAAAGCCATGACCCGCAGCGGCATCAGTATACAAATTCAAAAGGTTGGAAGGGAGCCAATCATCGGAAAGAAAAAACGACCGGCCATTGAAATCATCCAGAAAGGATTTCCAAAGGCCTAAATCTGCTTTAACTGACCTTGTTAGTCGAATACGATGAAAGGGGGCATTAACACCTTTAGTTAAATCAATGAGACGCCGCAGAAAAGCCCGACCCGTTGGTACGACAGTACAAGCGAAATTAAGCAGACCAATCAAAGATTGAACCTCTTTCAAAGTTGCCTTTCGACGGCAAAGAAATTCGGAAAGAATACTGCGCGTTTTCAATATTTTGTCAGCTGGTAAACGAGCCTCCATTGTATTCGTGTCTAACTCGATGCCAGCAAA